CTCTCTCTCTCTCTCTCTCTCTCTCTCTCTCTCTCTCTCTCTCTCTCCTATCTCTCTATCTCTCTATATCTCCCTCCCCCCCTCTCTCTGCCTAAGGAAGAAGGCAAGTGACAAACTACTCCCAAAAATCTTGCTAAAGAAATTGCAGGAAGTATCCAGACAGTATCCAGGAGACAACAATGACTTAAAGGCAAAAAATAAATAAATTCAAATGTTTTAAAATGCAAGCATTTTCAATTTAGCATGAACAGTCCTTACATATATATATATAAATTTGTACTACCTTCAGGAGGTGGTGGTGGAGGGAACCCTTCCATTTCCATTCTATTCTTCTTTCCCTATTGTGTTTTCTTTTCAATGTACAATAAATGATTCTGTAATAAAATAAAATACATTAAAAAAGATGAACAGCTTTTCACATTTTTAGAACATATCATATACCATATTGACTACACAATAGAAAACTTGCCTAAATGTTTAAGAACAAGAGTTTTTTTAAATCAGAGGATGGTGCTCATTTGTTGTTTGTTTGCTTGCTTGCTTGCTTGCTGAGTTTGGGCCCATTGCAGAGCCAAATTGGTACAGTGGTTAAGGTGCTGGCCTAGAAACCAGGAGACTGGGAATTCTTGTTCTGTTGTAGATATGAAGGGTGATTTTGGGCCAGCCATTGTTTCTCAGCCCAACCTACCTCACAAGGTTATTGTGGGGAAAACAGAATTAGAAAGAGGTAGTACAGTAGTATGTTCACCACCTCAAGTTACTTATAAAGTAACAAAGGTGGGAGAAACCTAACAAAGTAGCAGAAGACATTATGGTACAGCAGTGACTTCTGCCAACCTACAATGACAGTGTGTTTATAATAGGTAGTGCTTTATTTCAGAAATAGATTTAGATTTATTTATTTTTCAAAAATAACTTCTGTCCTCTATTTTGGTCATTTAACTTTTACCGTACAAACTGCACCACAAAATTCAGTCTCTTTCATATTCTTGTGAAAAACCATGCAAATTGAATTGTCTTTTTAAAATGAATTTAAATATACTGTTTGATTTTAGATATTTTTTATTAGGATATGCATTTTGGTAAAGTTTTTCTTGGTTTTGTTCTCGAATTTTCCTTTGTAAACAGTTTGAAAATTTTATCCTTGTGAATTGCTTTCAGATCAGGTGTGTCCTTTATTTTTTTCCCCAAGAAAATATGATCGCCGCAGCCATTTCACATCATGAATCCATTCAATTCCATTTTGCTTGTGTTTAATAGCAGAAACTTTCATTAAGATTATTGGTGCATAATAATAAGAAGTGGTTCTTAAACAAATACTGTGCCACAAAATCTATCTTTATTATACCAACTTAAACTCTCCTTCATTTGTCCTAACATCTTCCATTTTTTATGCTGATACAGAAATGACTGCCTGTAGTCTAATTGTACTTGTGTTATCATGCTATACTAACTCAGCAATTAACTCAGGCACTCGGCCAACAGCCCTTACCAATAGCAAAAGTGTAAACTCTTGTCAAAGATACTGCTAAGCCTTCTCTAAGCCTATATTATGGGTTGGGGCTACTCTGTAATAAAATAAATCTTTCTACACATAATTCGGTAGATTTATGATTAAATGGCATGAGACTTAAATCCAGATAAGCCTAACTTCAATTTAATTCATAATCCTGAACAACAAGGAATTAAGGATAGAGTTTGTAAGTTTAGCAACAAGAAACACAGGGTTTAAAAATGACATCAATAAGCTTTAAACCCAGAAGCAAAACTAGAACACCAGACCTAATAATGTACAGATGACCCTCAACTTACAATAATTCATTTAGTGACCATTCAAAGTTACAACCACCACAGAAAAAAAGTGACTCATGACCATTTTTCACACTTACGACTGTTGCTCATCCCCATGGTCACATAGTCAAAATTCAGACCCTTGGCAACTGGCTCATATTTATGACGGCTGCAGTATCCCAAGGTCATTTTTGCAATCTTCTGATAAGCAAAATCAATGGGGCAGACAGATTACCTTAACAATCATGTTACTAATTTAAACAAATGAAGTGATTCACCTAACAACTTTAGCAAGAAAGGTCATAAAATGGGACAAAATTCACTTAACAACTGTCTTGTTTAGCAGCAGAAATGTTCAGCTCAATTGTGTAGGTTGTGAGGACTGTGCGTACAGCTTGCTTGTTCTGCATTTCCATGCATTCTCGCAGTACATTAGCCCTGCCAATAGTTTATAAGGAAGAGGCACACTGCCAGTACTTCTCTCCAATTTGCTTATGATATCAGCAACTTTTTGCCAGGACTGCCAAAATTTCTTGCTGGCTTCAGATTATTGCTTTACTAAAATCCTATCGAGAAATTGACACATCCCCATGTTAAAATGCAAAGGAAAGGAACCACGTTGCATGATACAGCCTTAGAACAGGCCACAATATGTACGGTAATACTTTTTCATCAGTTGTCGTGTGTATCGCATAGGTTGGGAAGCCTACTGAATTCATGACACCGAGATGAATAAACAATAGTAAATAAAATGTGTTGCATTCACAAATTCAAGCATTTCATTATGGGAAATACCCTAAATTTAATATAATAAAATTTTGATCTAACATGTCATGGGCCTCTGTTTTTGTTTGTTTGGGGTGTTTATCTCATTGTTTGTTGGATAATTACCATATGGAATGCATTCTTCACTAAGGGGTTGCAGAACTGACACCCACAGTGGAAACTTTAATTAAATATTCCAGGGGGAGGAATTTGTTTTGAATCTCACAAGAATACTCTGAGCAAGCTAAATATGTTTCAATGGCTTTTCAATGTTGTGATATCCATCTTACAAATACCGGGCTGTCTACAATAACATGTATGCAATCAAGTCATCTCAAAGACATGGCTATTGCTATTTACAATGTGTATAATTTAGCAATTAATTTAAAATATCATAGATTATGATTCCATTATTTATATTCTACTTTTCTATTCGTTATCTTATTATTTTAAGAAAGAAAAGCCAGCATCAATAACTTGCTGTGTTTTTATTACTACATAGAGCTTGATGTCATTTGAGACAAACCTATAAATAATTTGATTCTTTTGTATTAGTTTTCTCCTAAGCATATTTTGATTGTGAAATATTATTACAAACTGAAGCAAGTTCAAATTAAGCTTGAAGGATAAATGTTATTATTTTCTCCATAATTCAAAAAACAAATTTTAACTAACAGTTAATTAGTTATGTTTCTGCAAACGAATAAACTTAAGTACCGCTCTTACAAAGTGATATGTACTGTTGTGGTAATAAAGTACAGAATTCTAATTCATTTATTTTATAGATCCTAGTCGACACATTTTCTCTACATATTTTAGAATAAAATTAGGTACTTTATTTCAAACGATTCTCAACATGCTAATTGCCATGAATATTCCTAAAATAATATTGCAGACTATAATTTATTTTCCTTGTGTTTTGTGCATTCAAGTGAAGGAAAAGCATTTTAAATTTCTGGAAAAGAATTCTAAGCTACTCTTTATATTGTAATTCAATTATTCCTATCACCAATATAGAAGAGTAAGCAGGACAAATTCTTAACCTTGAAAGTTACCATAGTAAATTCAGAGGTTTGGCAGATAAAATACAAGCTTTGTAACAACTGAAACAAACAGATTTTTCTAAACAGAACTTCTGTGCTGCTTGTATGGGTTAGCTGCTTATCCACTCACGGACTAAAGGATTAGTTAGTTGTTCATTAGAATTACTATTCCCTAAATTTGAATCGGGACTATCAGGTGAATGATGATGTATTAATTTAATGCCCTTGCATTTCTGAGGTTGCACTTTCCAGTTTATTCGCTTTTAGTTAGTTCTAACAAGACAGTGTTTTTTTTTAACAGATCTTCCAAACCACCACAAGCAATGGTTTGATGTGTGTTTGTACATATGTTTTGCTTCTCGTTTCATTACATTTCACGCCTCTTCCAGCATAGTCTTTCTTACCAATTATAAATACAGATAGGCCACATTTAGCACAAGTTTGAATGATGTGATATTCAATTTAGGACAGATTGTAAATTGATACCAGATTGCCCTCTTGTCCTCCTGTCTCCCAGAGTTCGCTCAAATTCATGTTCCTTGTGTCAATGACGTATCTAACCACCTCTTCCTTTGCCTTCCCTTCTCCTTTTTGCTTTAAATTCCCAATCTCAGGGTCTTTTCCAATGAGTCCTCTCTTCTCATTTGAAATGTGTGAGTAAACTCATCTAATTGTGTACATTCAATAAATGAAAGTTAAAACAATTAGAGTTAATGCAGTATGCAAATCTCATCTCTACCTTCCTATTACAATCTACAATCATCCTTTCTGTAGCTTCACAATGGAGTCTATAGTTATTCAGGGGCCTTAAGGCCATTTTTATTCTTTAAAATCTTCCAAAACAATTGTTCTGTCTTTCTAATACTAATCCTTGTGACAGCCTCCAAACTCTTGTCTACATGATACTAGATCAGAAATGTTAGTGCACCAAGTCATTTATTCATTTAAAGTTGGATCTTTTTGAGTGATCAACCAATTTTCTTGCTCTAATCTGCAACATAAAATGGAAATCTGGCTCACTTACTGAGCCACGTGTGAATAAAGCAGGTTTTCCTTCATTGCTGGTATCGAATGCAATTCTGCTCAGATGGGTTTTAAAAAAAGAAATAAAACTTAGGATTCTGCATGAATAAAAAAATATCTCTCCATTGATAGTTTCTCTACAAAGGCTGCTTTTCTTTTCCTCAAGTGTTCATTATATAAAATATTCTGGGAATTTCCTAATTCATTTGAATGTTGAAATACACAGTGAATTGCCAGACACAGTATTTTAACAAAGTATTCCAGTTCCTAAAATTCTGTCAAGTATGGATATACATACAAAGATGAACTGGACTGAAAACAATGCTTCTAAATATTTTATATAAAATATTTAAAGTTCATCTTTCTGCACCTGTGGCACTCAAGAGGAGCCTTCATAAAGCCATATAATATTGAAAACAGAATTTTTAAAAGTTATTAAATATACATAGACATAGGTCATCATATGTAATATAAGTTTTTTGTTTTGTGAATTATGAAATATTGGAATAGCATGATGAGCACACCATGTTTTATACCATACAGTATCTTACAACAGTTATTTCTTAGATTGCATTACAGTTTTCTCAGCTTCAAATAATCTTTTGAAAAATAATGTTGACTTATCTAAAAGTTAATCAACATTTTTAAAAGTTAATCAACAATAAAAGATAAACATTATATTCTGTAATTCAGCATGTTGAGCTTTCTTCAAATTGATGCATCTTTATATTTTCAAGGTCCATCATCAATTATTCCTGAAAAAAGTGTCTAAAATCTAAAGTAATATTTGTTCCTCTCAACATTCTTTCTCACATTTTCAGAATCTTTTCATGTTAGTTAAAGGTGATAACTAGTTGTGGCATAATGTAATTAATCATAAATAATCATTATATTGCTAGAAAGCTGTTGAAGATAAGGCAAATGACTTGTCCAAGATCTGAACACATGAGCAAAGCTAGGACTGAGCCACAAAACACAAATCATTCATTTGAAGTCAAGAGTTCTTTCATACAGAATCACCCTTTCCAAATCTTCTCAGCCAACCAGCATTCTAAGCCCAAGAATTCAATAATTTTAAAATCCATCTCAATTCAGCAGCTGACAGGTTATCTAAAACAATGAGATTTCCTCCCAGTCTCTCTAAGCTAGAGACTTCAAGTAAGAATTATGCCCCACAGCCATATTCCAAAGTGTTGGTTGGGTCAAGGATGAACACTTAACTAAAACTGACATTTTATTTCAACTGACTTACTTATACTTAGTGCATGAATACATATATTTAGTATATTTATTGTAAGTAATATCTATACAATTAACACTTTCTTCCTTTTCTTGTTCAAAACTAACAATTCAGAGGCTTCATTTAACATTGCAAACTTATCTTCTGCACTCTACCTAAATGCTCCCATTGTTCTTTGAAAGCCTTTAGAGTATTAACTACAGCCTTTTCGGTCCCTCTTTCAAATAATTCTCCAGCAACTCCCATTTTTGTGCCATATACTCCTCAAGATCGCTTCTCATACCTTATAGATGGGAAAAATATAAAGGAAAACAGTGATCACCACCTACACACACACACTTCATTCTCTTGACTCTCAAAGTCTTCAGAAGATAAATCTGGCAGGTGCATAAATTTATTTATTTAATCAATTTATTAGCCAGCCCTATTACACACTTATTTTCACTTTCCAGCATTAGTGGGATCACACAGAAACTAGTTCCAAAATAAATCACAGATATTAAGGGACAGAGAGATGTTGATAGGTCCCACCACAAGAAATGACTCCAAGTTGGCACAGGTAAAGTCTCAAGTTATTGGTAACTTTTTTTTTTAATAGAAATTTTTTTTTGCAAGAAATTCCAACTTTAAAATAGCAGGAATGGTCCAGATGTGCTGATAATTCAATAATGGCAGCAAAGGTTTTTTTTTCTGTAATCCCTAGGAAGGAAGGGATCATTTTAAATGAATTTTCTGTATAAAAATTACTAATCGGTAAGATCTCTATTACACCTCTTCTTCAAGAGCTCAAGATGAGTTATCTGGAAATTTCTTTTTATTTCCACAACTACCCTGTGAAGCACCGGCTCAGATGACCACACCAAAACACACCTGTCAATCAGTCATCTAACTACTGCATCCCCAATCATTTCTATGTAAGGTGATTTTTTTGATTTTTTATTTTGCTGGGGGGGGGGGGAGCCACCTCTTGCTACCGAAGTCAAGAAAGCATTTCTATAGTCCCACGCAGCATCTTCTAGCAAGTCCACAATTGGGCAAGTGAATAAAACTGAGCAGTGAACAGGCCCTTTTCTGCATGTAATCAACTGTTCATTTTCTTGTGCAGATTCCATCTCTTTTGCCATACCCCTAGTGAGCCTCCCGCTTTTGCAATAGACACTGGGGAGGATTAAGGAGGAATTCAGGATGTACACTTGGCACCACCACCATCTTTCCAAAGGAACTTTTACACTTTGGGAAGCTACCTAGCTGACCCCAATCTGTGTAAAGCAGGCAGCCGCAGACACCAACATTTATAAATGAAGAAATGCCCCTACAGATTGCTCTCCTGCACAGCTGGTTCACAACTCAATTCCATAGTTAAATTGTTTCATTCTTAAAACATGCCCAACCCCAGAACATCATCATCCTGCACACAGACAGAGAGAGAGAGAGAGAGAAATGCTGAGCACCAATAACTCTAGACAGAACTCAAACCGGAACCCAGATTTAATTAGATACATTTATTAAAGGACAAACACATCCAGCATTTATGTTGGGAAAGAGAAAACCTCCCCTCTCCGTGCATGTTTACTTTTTTTTAAAAAAATGAGATCCTCCCAACTCTCTTTTCCAAAGTGTCTTGCTGAGCAAAACCATTCCACAGAAAACTCCTTTGAACAGTTTTGGCACCCATAGCCTATGCCTATATACGAATTTTTGCATCGTGACACCATCAGTTTTCTGGATCCAAGAGGCTGCACACACAATACAACACACGCACACAGACACCCCACATACCCCGCTGTGGATGAACCACGGCTCCATAGGGGGAGGGAGACGAGAGGGACATACTCGGTGGGGCTCCCCATAGGGAAGAACAAGTAAAACTTCTCTTCCCCCCTCCACCCCACCCCACCCCACTCCCTCCGCCCCTCAGCCAAGCGCCTGCAAAGGGTGAACGGAGAGAACAGGCGCGCGGGGTGGGGTGGGGGGGCAGAATTCAAGCTCCCGTACTCGGGAGCCCATTTCCACACGCGCCTCAACTTTCTCCTCCGCAAAAGCCCGTCTCTGTCCCGGTCTCGCCTTTGAGGATGCCCTAAAAAGGAGCTTTCAAACCCCCTCGGCCGAAAGCCAAGCCTGTCCAGCCGGCATCGCTTTGGTCACCTTTGCAGCCTCCAGGCACTGTCACCACCGCCCTCCACTCCTCCGGCTTTCACCGATGCTGAGGTCCCCTCCTCCGAAACAAGCAGGCGGTCAGCATTTCGCCCGCACGCTCACGCAGGATACCCTGCCGAGCCGAGGATGTCGCCGAGACCTCGAGCATGATTGGAGGAAGCCGGGGAGGATTCGCCCCCTCGGGTTGGCTCTCCCGAGTGCCACTCCAGCGGCTGCTCCGGCTTTTGCAGAGGAATAGGGCGCTGCGAGGAGCGGAGCTGCGGCGCCGCCGCCGCTCCAGATCCTTTCTTTCCACCCCCGTACACGCATGCATCGCATTCCTTGGTGCCCACGTGACCCGCCTAATTGCTCTCGCTTGTACAGCTGGGCTTGCGCGGAGTAAGTCGGCTGCTACTGCAGCCAGCGTATCCACTCTTGAGTGCGGTCCAGGTTGTCCTGACTAGTTTCTCTTTCAGCAAAGGAGCCTGCTTCCAAAAAATAAAAAAAATCATGTGAAAAACCCCTCAATTGTCACCACAAACAACAAATTTGGCATTTTCACCTCGTTTTCCACAATTTTCGGTCGCCCTCCGAGGAAAAGTTCCACAACTTTCGGCCGCCCTCCTTAATTCCAATGGAAGCCTGAGGTATCCCCGCCCTGAGAAGTCACTCAGTCCGCCTTCTTACACAGGCGGTGCGCTAAATCTGAATGTTTTTAAGCAGTTTTGTTGGCTTAGACCACAACCCGGCCGTATTATTTATACAGAGCTTATAGTTTCCTGACGGCCTCTTTCCAGTGATGCTTCCAGTCCTAGATAGGGTGGTCTCCGTAGACACTTTAAGGCTGCGACACTTTTTTTAAGATGAATAGAAGCAATCATTTTTGTGTCTTAAAAAGTTGCTGAACGGGATATTTTTTTGGTTGCTCTTAATAATTGCTTTTTGGTAAATGTCCCAACAATAAATCAAGATAACTTACTGTGTAATTCTGTAGTAGTGCCAACAGGTTGCTGGGCAGTATATAAATTTAATTAATGAATTATGGACTATAGAAATAAACCAACATTAGGCCCAGGCAACAGGCCAGTAGGTCAATTTTTTGTAGCAATCCATGGATCTACAGTCAAAATGCAGACATGACTCCAACACTGTATTTGATTGTGCAAGATAGTATTCACTGGTCCGAAAAGCAGACCCTGCATCTGTGGGAATTATGCGACAATGACAATGATAGAAATGATAATATGATAGTGTTGTGGCTCCGGGCTTGGATTCAGCTCCTGTGGCTGATATGAGTTCAAGTGAGGAGGACATGGCAGAAAAATATGAGCCGGCAGGGCTCAGTGATGGGAATAGTAACCAGGATGAGGAGATGGACGTGACAAAGGAAGACAGACCTGATGTATTAGAATTGTCAGGACCTTTGACCTCCTCTGGTTCCTTATCTGATCAATACCCGGGAATGGCTGACAGGGAAGTTTTGAGAGTCTTCTAGTGGAGATGAGAACTTGGAAAACTTGTGGTTAAATGTAAGGAACAGAAGACGATTAAGGAGGCAAACCCAGTTAGAAGGGAGGAGGAGGGCGAGTCAATAATTAAGGAAATTAGCAGGTTGCCTCAATGAGTATAAAAGGACACAGCTGGGCTGGAAAAATTTGCCAGGAACAAAGTGACTTATTGCGTGAAGACGATACAGCAGAAGCTCTGAGGCTTGAGATTTTTTGCCAGGACTGGTTTGCCGAACAGAGCAAAGATTGTTACTGTGGATTGTAATTTATGACAGCCGTTATCTTGTGAGACTTCTTTCTGTTTGATTTAATTTTGAAACGGCTGCTTTCTGTTTTGCTCGCTTGAATTTTGAAGGGGAGTCATAACATGATAGTTTGGTCTAGTGCTTTAAAGCATCAGGTTAGAAATTAGGAGATCCCAGGTATGAGAGCCAGCTGGTGACTTTGGGCCAATCACTCTCAGCCCAACTCACCTCACAGGATTGTTGTTCTTGGGAAAATAGGAAGAAATATTAGGTATGTTCGCCACCTTGAATTATTTATAAAGTAATAAAGGTGGGTTAAAATTCTAATAAATAAAAATAAAGAGCATTGTCAACTTTTTGCCCACTTCATAAATAGGGTCCTTTGAAGATTGATAACATGGAGTTTACTGTTCCACATTGTTGCATCTAGAAGCTAAGTAAGCTGCATCATTTGAATTTACATATACCACAGGTATCAATTGTCCAGGGCCCTCAGAAAACTGGATTTCACTTTAAAAAAAAAAAAGCTTAAAAGCTTGTTTCGTTCCCAAGAAAGTATACATTTCTTCCCTTTCACCATGTCTTTTTTTCCTGGGCAATAAAATTAAAATACACAATGAGATACCATCAGTTGTCAACAAAAGTAATTCAGACACAAATCATTTTTTATTGTTAGTTCCATATTACATTAGCACTGAGGGGTGGAAACCATAGTGCATCAGCAATAAGCACCATTGCCACTTTTCATATGTCTAATCCTCCAGTCCCAGCAAGGCAGCCTGAAAACTTAGCAAGAGAGATTAAAATTATTATTCACAGAATTCCAAAAACATAGCTTTTATTTTTGAATCAAAATCTCTAAACCTAAATCTTTAAACTACAGTGCTTCCAAACACAAGGGGATATGGCTTCAAACATAATACTATAGAAGCAAGAGTAAAACAAATGACTAGATAAGAATGGTTGAATATAGAGATGGGGCTTTAGTCTTTTCTTAAAACACAGGAAAGGGGGCAGTCAGAACTGGAAACAGCTGTTGGCACCATGGGTCTTCACCTTTTGTACCTGCAATAAACTCTTTAGAGACAATCAGAAATCTCAGCTTATGAAATAGGGTAGAAGCCTATTTATATATGGATAGGTTCCAAGCTGTTTAGGAATTTATATATAATTTAACTTAAAACTTTTCCAAACAGGAATCATGTCAGGAACCACCCAATAGAAACCTAGCTGCCACATTCTTTCGAGTGGTGGCCCCTTCTTTACAGAAAATCATTCCCTATGAGGCACAGCTGGCCCTCACCCTGTTGCTCTTCCAAAAGGCCCCCAAAATGTTTTGCTAGCAGGCCTGGGGACCACAAATAGAGATGGAGCTGATCAGTGGATGATTTGATTGTCTTATTGTTGCCATGGGAGGATGGAGTGGGGTGATTTTTTTGTATGGGTTTTTAATACGAGGTGGATTTTTTTTAATGTTACAAGCTGCCCAGAGCCATCTATGTGTGACTTGGGTGGCTGTATACATTTGTTTAATAAATTAATAATTCTACACCCATAATCATTTTTTTAACTTCCTTCAATTGTCTAATTGAGAAAGAACTGGAACATGGGTAATAGTAGCCAGATTACATTTTTTTCAGAGAAGGGATGCAATTCATAGATCGTCTGCAGTTGGAAAAAAAGTATTCCTTGATACTATACCAGCCTGAGAATCAAGAGCAGAGGATCAACAGGCTGTGTTCCTGTTTCTTCAAGTCGGGTGGGGTGGGGACAAAGAAGTCATTTAAATGATATCTTAGGCTGGGACAACTGATCATTTCAGTCAGCCACCAAGAATTCAACAAGTTTAATATGAAAGCAAACTTCCCTGCTAGGAATGAAAGAAATGAAAGAATGCTGTCCCTTCTTTCCTGTTTTATTTTTATTGGGATGAGAGCTGCAAAGAGGATATGACAGGAAGCAAATTAATAAACCACTAATATAAATGAAAATTATATGCCAATGTTGTTGTAGTAACATACTCATCCAAGCCACTCCAGAACTGTTAATGGAATATATATACAGCAGGTTTGGAATATAGAATTAATTATATTTTTTAATCCTACCTTTATTATTTTCATAAATAGCTCAAGGCAACAAACATACTTAATACTCCTATTTTGCCTACAACAACCTTGTGAGATAAGTTGGGTGGAGAGAGAATGATTGGCCCAAAGTCATCCAGTCATGCCTAAAGCCAGATTAGAACTCAGTGTTTCCTGGTTTCTAGCCTGGTACCTTAATCACTAGACCAAAATGATGATATAGAAAAGCAGTATCTGCAATAACAGGGTTTAATATTATTGCTTAAAAAATCAGATACCTGGGAATTTACTTAACAACAAAAATAGAGATTTCTTTATGAATAACTATTTCAGATTTAGAAATGTATAAAGGGAAATATATTAAGATGGAGAAAGTTAAATGGAAGGGAAAATGTTACACAGTTAATATCACGCTAAAAGAAATAGTATGTTTATGTTTTACTGGTACTGATTGCAAAATATATATCATTTCTTCTCTAAACATTGGAAATGCAGTAATAAGGCTGGGTCACTTTTTTAACATTTTGTGGCCCCAAATTTGGAAAGTGATTTATAATAAAATGAAAGAGATTGTAAAAATTTAATTTCCAACCTTCTATTTTTGAGTTAAACTAAATGTTATCACAATGTATAACAAGCTGCTTTTCTTGGGCTGTGTTGGCACAGTGGTTAGAATGCAGTATTGCAGGCCAACTCACTGCTCACTGCCAGTTTGATTCTGACTGGCTCAAGTTTGAGTCAGCCTTCCATCCTTCCAAGATTGGTAAAATGAGATCCAGATTGTTGGCGGAAATATGCTGACATTGCAAACCACTTCGTGCTGTAAAAGCACTGTGAAGCGGTATATAAGTCTGCTGTAAGTGCTATTGCTATTGCTGTTTTATACAAACGTAATCACCGAACCGACATTACACCGGTTGAATCCCACCCCTGGTTTAAAGTGTTTGTACTCTGGCCTTGTTGCTTGAGTTTTATCACAACTGGACCACAGCAGGTTAGTAAGGCTATCATAAATAGATCACAGAATAAGTAAACTGATAGATTTGGATAGTATAAAATAGAAATAGAAACAACATTCAGCAATGAGAGACAATTCCTTCCTTGGATAATTGTGAACAAGATTAAATTGAACAACTAACATCTTGATATAAATATATAGTAAACCACATTTGAAATGAAGGATGCAATTCGGATGGCATGGTACCATTCCAGAAAAGATATAGTGCTTGAAGATTACAAACCATGACATGGATTCTGGTTTTTCCTTTCCACGAATGGGCAAAAATATTGTACTCTGTAATTTACTAAGAGAGGGAGAGACTACATGGAAATATGA